CTTTAAGCCGTTTACTGAAATGTTAGTGGGTTTGTTCCATTTATTGCATCGTTCGATTTAGAAGTGTAAGGTTCTTTCTTTTTTTTTTTTTTCATCTCTCTCTGTGAACTTCAGATGACAAGGCTACACTCCTCTAGGAAGTCTGTGAACTTCAGATGACAAGGCTACACTGGTCTAGGAAGTCTGTGAACTTCAGATGACGGCTACACTCCTCTAGGAAGTCTGTGAACTTCAGATGACGGCTACACTGGTCTAGGAAGTCTGTGAACTTCAGATGACAAGGCTACACTGGTCTAGGAAGTCTGTGAACTTCAGATGACAAGGCTACACTCCTCTAGGAAGTCTGTGAACTTCAGATGACAAGGCTACACTGGTCTAGGAAGTCTGTGAACTTCAGATGACAAGGCTACACTGGTCTAGGAAGTCTGTGAACTTCAGATGACAAGGCTACACTGGTCTATGAAGTCTGTGGCGCCACGCATATCTTTTGCTGGTCCATACAGCTTGGTTTCCATTGGAAGGCCAACCTGTCAAACCTGAGAAGCTGATTATTTCTTTAGAACCTCCTAATCTTTTTACAAACTTACTATTTCTTTAAAACCTCTTAATCTTTTGACAAACTTACTATTTCTTTAAAACCTCTTAATCTTTTGACAAACTTACTATTTCTTTAAAACCTCCTAATCTTTTCACAAACTTACTATTTCTTTAAAACCTTCTAATCTTTTCACAAACTTACTATTTCTTTTAAAACCTCCCAATCTTTTCACAAACTTACTATTTCTTTAAAACCTCCTAATCTTTTCACAAACTTACTATTTCTTTAAAACCTCCTAATCTTTTCACAAACTTACTATTTCTTTAGAACCTCCTCATCTTTTCACAAGTTGACTATTTCTTTAGAACCTCCTAATCTCTGCAGAAGCTTACTATTTCTTTAGAACCTCCTCATCTTTTTACAAGTTGACTATTTCTTTAGAACCTCCTAATCACCTCGGTATTTCTTATTTATTTCAGAACCTCGCTATCTCTTCACAACCGGCGAATCTCTCCAGAACTTCGCTTTCTCCTAAAAACCTGAATATAATTTCAGACGAAAAAGAAATCTTGACAGAATCTCCAGAATATTATGTCATTTTCGAGGATTTGAAATCCTGTTTTCATGTGTGTTTTGGAGAACTGGCAATGAGATGTTTCCCCTACCCCCCATCCCCCACCCCCGCCCACCCGTCCCTTTGCTTTCCAATTTCCGTCTTTTTCAGCCTATGCTATTCTTTCACGTGTTTGAATGTTAACTGCATTCGCTAACAAACGCCAAAGGACAGGGATACAGATAACACAAACACACACACACAAAACAAGACAAATGTCTGAACAACCAGTGGTGTCAACAGTGTTAAGACAAAAAGATGGCCATTTATAAGACACAATAAGGAGAAGGAGACAGATAATCACAAAAGAGTTACTGAAGTAGGAAACAAATGGACTGAGGAAACCTGAACTTCCAAGCGAAGCTGATCCTAGCTGATGATGTGCAGGACTGGTTTCCTTTGATGGTGGAAGTAGAGCAGAGATTAGAACGAAATGCATGACTGAACAGTTAAGTCTTGTGTGACACATAATGGCCTTAAAGGATTATGACAATGATAATGATGATGAGGAGGGTGAAAATGAATATGATGATGTTAGTGATGATGATGACAATAATAATAATCATGATTATGCTTATGTTGTTGGTGGTGATGATGATAATGACGATGATGAAGATAATGACGATGATAATAAAGATAAAGATGGTGATGCTATTGCTGGTGATTGTGAAAATGTTGATGATAATGATGATATGATAATTATGATAATGACGACTACGATGATGTTGACGATAACGATGATGATGATGGTGATAGTGGTGACGATGACGATGATGATGACGATAATGATGATCATAATGGTGATAGTGGTGTCGATGACGATGATGATGACGATAATGATGATGATGATGGTGATAGTGGTGACGATGACGATGATGATGATGATAAAGATGATAATGACGACGACTATGATGATGATGATGATTGTAACGGTGATGATGATGATGATGCAGAAGACAGTGACGATAATGATGACAATGATTATGGCGATGATTGTGATGACGATAGTGATGATGATGATGATGATGTTGGTGATGATGACAATGACGAAAATGATGACAATGATTATGACGATGATGATGATGACGATGATGATGATGATGATGATGATGATGATGATGGTGATGGTGATGAGGATAATGATGATGGTGTTGATGGTGCTGATGATGACGATGATGGGGATGATGATGATGATGATAATGGTGATGATGATGATGACGATGATGGTGATGATGATGATGATGATGATGGTGATGATGATGATGATGATGATGATGATAATGATGTTGGTGGTTAACTGATCCTTGCAATTTTCTCAGAAATCTCAATTTTCGCTGCCAGGTGATGAATTGTAATGACCAGTCTCACAGTTAATTAGAAATTTAAATTATTCCCATCCATTCCCATTTCCATTATTCCCATTATGGGGTTCCAACGTCGATATCTAGTAAACCATATTTAGCCCACAATTCAGAGATGAGGTGTCCAGTGTTGTCCTCTCTGTCTTGTATTTCCAATTAGTTTGGCTGACGTCAGAGGCAATTACCTTAAAAAGGAGATAAAGTTTGAAGATGAAAACCCCGCCTTCACTCCTAAACCCCCAATTTGTTTTTCCACCGGGCACCTCATCTCGCAAAGGCCACCGAGCGTCTTATCGAATGAGCTAATCAGATCGTATATTATAAAGAACGGATACAAATTTAGAATCGGCTCATAAACAGTATCCTGTCTCAAAAGCTCAGGTGATTTGGTCATGTTAAACGTTTGATGGTCTGCGGAGAACGGTGATTAAGGGTAGAATGTCCGGAAACGAGGCAGAGTTAGACGCCCCCAAATGTGGACACAGAAGATGCATTGGCTATGAAAGCACATAGGGTTAGAGAAATGGTTACAGAAAGAAAGACTTTCAGACACGCCATTGCGAGAGCGACGTTCTGTCAAGAGCCTGCTCTTAATGATACAAATTCATTGTCTATGTGGAGCAGTGTTGAGTTGACTTAAGAACCGACTTCACAGCACTCGAGATATTCCCCAAGGCGCTCCATCCTAGTCTTCAGCAGCTGAGTTCCACTTCCAAAAGTACCCTCAAAAGTCTGCCCTTTCCCTGAGTGTAGAATTCCAGCCAGATTGCTAAGTCTAACCAAACTTCCACAATTCTCCTCAGGCATTTTACTTTTGCGAGGATTTGAATCTCCTAAATTATTGTTGCCTCTCATTTGCAAAAAGGTCACGTTTCAGATTTTTTAAACTAGGGTGGATAGAGAATGTTTTGGTAATCTATTAGTGAGGTGTCATCTTCACAATAAATGTTGGATGTGACAGGGTTCCATCACTCGCTATTTCTGTCTATGCTTGTCCGCTCTTACAGACTGCTATTTGTCCATTTCTTTCTGTTATTGTCTCCCTTGTTTAGCTCTCTCGGTCGGTGTCTCTGGCTTAGGCTTTGCAAACGGGCTTCGTAATACCGAGCTGCTGGGTTCAATCCCAGCTGCAGACAGTTTGACAGCAGGCCGCTTTACGCTGGTTTCGACAGTGGTATCCAGAGTTGACCGTTGAAGAGGCAAAGGCAAACTACTGAATGGCAAACTGCCTAGTAAAACCAGCAGCAGTCAAAATCATGTTGGGATTCGCGCCAAATTTTTAGCACTCTCTCTTCCTTTCTCTCTTTCCCTCTCTGTCACACTCTTTCTCTCTCTCTCTCTCTCTCTCTCTCTCTCTGTCACACTCTTTCTCTCTCTTTCTCTCTCTCTCTCTGTCACACTCTTTCTCTCTCTCTCTCTCTCTCTCTCTCTGTCACTGTCTCTTTCTGTATATACCTCTGTATATATCTATGTCTCTCTCTGTCTTTCTCTATCTCTCTTTCTGCTCTCTATGTCTCTCCCTTTCTCTTTATGTCTCTGTGTATCTTTCTGTCTCTATCTGTCTCTATCTGTCTCTCCTTCTGCTCTCTATGTCTCTCTCTTTCTCTTTATGTCTCTATGCCTCTCTGTCTCTCTTTCTGCTCTCTATGTCTCTCTCTTTCTCTTTATGTCTCTATGTCTCTTTCTGTCTCTATCTCTCTCTGCTCTATTTCTCTCTCTTTCTCTATGTCTCTCTCTTTCTCTTTGTCTCCCTCTGTTTCTATCTCTGTCTGTCTGTCGGTCTGTCTGTCTGTCTGTCTGTCTGTCTGTCTGTCTGTCTGTCTGTCTGTCTGTCTGTCTGTCTGTCTGTCTGTCTGTCTGTCTGTCTGTCTGTCTGTCTGTCTGTCTGTCTGTCTGACTTCGCAACTACTGCAGACTTTCAATCCACCCTACATCTCCTTACCCAAAACCCCCAAGCTTACACCCCCACCCCCCCCCCCCCAAACCCCATTTCGCTCCCAATAACAAAACTGCGCGGAATCGTGCATACATTTAATAACACAACTTCCCCGTGTGGGTTCCGGGGAAAACAAGAAAAGACCCACTGACTTCTCAACAAGCATGTCGTAAGAGTCCACTAATTGGGGGTTTCCTTTAGTTGAAGTGCCTGTATCTGAGAGGCAAGAAACCAACAGTCAGCATACAAATCAGTCAGATCTGTAAAACGGATGTGCACGCAACATTTAGATTATGAAATAAGTAAAAAGTCCAGATGTTGATAAACAACTAGACATTTTACATCCGGTGAACGCGAAGAAGAAGTTAATAACACGTATTAAATAATATAAAAAGTAATATTTGTAAAAAGATCAATGTCAACTAATTAGAACTGTCTCCTTCCATGTCGGCATGCGTCTGCCTGCGAGGCAAAGAGCCAATATCCCTACATATAAATAAGTCAAATTTGTAAAACGGATGTGCACGCAACACCCAAGTTCTGAAACAAGAT